CATACCTTTTTAATCAATTTGTTGCAATTTTTGAGCTTCAGCAAGCAATGGATTTAAAGGTTAAAACTTTTCACACATGTGAAAGTGGAAAGTTTTTCATTTCCCATTTTTGATTATTCATCAGTGGTACATTTTTTCAACGAAAATTTTTTTGGATTTTTTTTTGGATTTTTTTTCTTTTATTTCACTTGTTTTCCTGGATATGTTTTACTGCCCCCGGCTATATTTAAAACAAACAAATTTTAAATTAAAAGTGAAATTGATTCTGTTGTGAAAGTAAGTTTTTATGGCAAAAAATACATAAAACATTTTTCGAAGCTTTTTTTCCATTATTCAACAAAGATTAGAAGCAGAGATCTTATAACTAAAAACTTAAGTCATATTGTAAAAAGTTAAATTTATCAAAAGTATTAAATTAAATATAGAAATATAAGACCTCTTTATGTCATATTTAAAGCAATGAGAACAGAATCAGATCAAACACTATTATTCTGGTTGGGAATAAAATACTAAAGAATGGTGTTAAACGGGTTCGTCCAATTTCGGGGTGAATACAGGTGCATAAATCGGACAAAAAGGTGTTAGTGATAGTTTTTTAATATACGATAGGATATTTATTGTTTAATTTTATCTAAACTGATAACCAATAAACTCAGTTAACACACCCAGATAGAGTTAAAAGGCTTTGTTCTATGTTATTGAGAGGAACGTAGATCCAAAAATTGTCCATGAAGGCTTTAGTTTTTTTTATTAATTACAGCCAAACTGATAAAACAATAAACTCAAATTATTATTATAAACTTTTGTGTCAATTTTGTTAACAATTTCATGAAAAAACACTAGTTTGTAAGCTTTTTCTTCATTATGGAATAGCTAACTTTTATCATTCGAATCGCCATGACCTTTTTGATGAATGTTCATATCATAAAATTGATCAATCTTTTATCATTCGAATCGCCATATTAGACTGATTTCGTAAGTGCATAACATAAAAGTGAAAACTCTACCTCACTTTAGCTAAATATATCTTAAGTATTCGATAAGTATTCAATTTCTACTGTGTATAGAAATAAAAAAAAATTATTAATAATTATATTTTCACTTTGCATAATTTACTCTCTTCCCTCTGTAGTGAAGGGGTTAGAATATTCCCGAGTTAAGGCATGCATGTCCTAATTAGCGACTAAAATCCCGGCACAACTTCGACACTGTTTGGAGTGGAAATATTAGTGAGAAACGTATTATTATTATTAGTAGCGAAAAAGCAGATATACACCCGAACGGAGGTGTATATCTAGGGGCAGTGTCGACGAATTATTGTATTTTACTTTCATTCGGTATGGAGCTGTGTATTAACACTAGATGCTGTGACCCAAAGATCAACAGAGGTATCGGTAGGTTTCGCCATAACTTAAATTGGTGTCGGTGAAAATTTCTTGGAATTTCTAAAGGGGTATTTTTCGGCTCCATTAGCCGCGGTGTTCAACCTTCAAGGCAGGTTAACACGTTAAACAATTCTGGACTCTGTACACTTTATTCTCTAGATCACCAAATTTATGGTCACATTGGGATACTTAGGAACAGTTACATAGTTGTACCATTTTAATCTATTATTTCCATCTTTAGTCCTCAAACCTTTAAATATCTATTTATGACCACCTTTCAATGTCCACCTATCAAATTTAAAAACATATTTTATCTATGCCATTTAACTTTTTATAAAATATTCAGCATTCATTTCTTTTTTTACAAGAGAAGTTTCGAAAAGTAGTGAGCTACGAACAAAAATTTTATATATTATTTTAATTAATTATATTTTTGGCTGACCATAGAGCTGTTTCGAGTATTATCAAATATCCATCATTAGTGGTCTTGGATTTATTTTTTTGTATTTAATTATTTGCAAATAATTGTTTAAAACTGCAAGTACCAAGGGTTGAACACGTACCCTGTCAAATTTGTAGCTCAGAGTTTTTCTTTTTGTAATTTTAGCTAATTTAGCTAAGACACACTTAAGAGTTAATTTCATTCATTCGTTTTAATGAGAGCTTGAAGAGTATAAGATATTCTAAATGCTGTATAATTTTACTGTTCCATATATACATATGTATATTCAGATAAGCTTCTTTGTTAACTATAGAAGATTTCTCCTAATATAGTATTTTGTTGAAATTTTATTTGATTAAATTTAATTTAATAATTGTTTTAGTTTGTACAGTGCAATTTTAACTGTACTTTAGTATTGCAGTAATATATTTCTAAACAACTTTATTTCACTGCTCAAATTATAAAAACAAAGCATTTCTCGCACAACTAAGCCATTTAATAAATTAAATCATAAATCCAGTAATGAAACCCTTTTTGTTTTAAATTACAAATCCTTTTTGCTTAATGCAAAAATAGAATTAACTGCAAACGAGCCAATTTATAAGCTGCGAAGAGGATTGCAACCAATTTCGGTAAAGAAATATCTTAGTTTTGGCTTTCGGCAATTTACAGAAGTATCTTATCTTCGCTGCTGCTCTATTTCAGTCGAAAAACAATTTCAAAATTTTACAAACAATTCAATTGAAATTTATTTTAGTATTCATCAAACGTTTTATCACTATTTTTCTTAACGATTTTATTAAAAGAAGGAAGAGAACGGGAACAAATGAAGCAATAAGAAGAGCAACAACCACAATTGAATTTGCTCCTTTGCGAAGGCAGCGGAAGAGCAAGGACATGAGATTTAAGTTGCTAATGTTGTTGATGTTGTTTGTTCTATGCTAGAGCAGTATCAATAAAATGGCTTGAAACCACAGAAAGCTGTTTTAGTTCATGTCCTGTCCGACGGGACTTTTCTACTGTGGACGCCATTAACACTGCAATAACAATAATAAAAATGTCGGAAATTGGCGCAATGTGAATGGCAATTTAAGGAGTCATCTGATGAATTTGAATTTGAAATTGTCATTTTAAAGAGATATGTACGAATATATATCTCATGCTACTTAAGAAGCTAATCCGTTGCTGAGGCGTCACTATGACCATGTTCGTATAATCGTTGCTGTAAGAGCTCATCGGCGAAGTCCCTTTGGAAGAAATTCAATTGTTGGTACGTGTTTTTAATTTTAAATAAATTACATTTTACTTTTGTGGTTGAAATATTTAGGTTAAGCGAAAGTGAGGAAAATCATTATTTTTTTTTTATAAATTCACAATTTTGTTGTTGTTGTCAGACTACAATTAAACAGATGCGATTTGCTTAACAAGTCAATTTATGATACTTGGCAGTAGTTTAAGGATAACATTTCTAAAAATACACCAAATTGTTTTTTATTTACATGAGAAAAGCCTTTAAATAACTCAGAAATACGAAAATGTTACTAAATTGAATCCATTTCTTTTTTTTTTCTTTTTTATTTTTGGTGGAGAATATTTAATGTTGCTGGTGCCAGGATGTCGCGTGCAGCTGGTTTTCTTTGTTCATTCCTAAAGTCCTGAGTTAAGGATGCATAAATTCCTTTTCACTTTATTTTATTGCATTTTTTCTATGTCGCGCAATTAGTGTTGCATTGTTTTAATTTTTGCCATTGCCTTTGACTTTGACTCCTTTTTTCTTATACACTGATTAAATTTTTTTGTGATATTTTACATTAGTAAAGGATTTCGAACAAGTAAGCCATCAGCTTAAGTACTTTAAATATGCTTTATTTTTTGTTGAGTTTAAACATTTTTTTTTAAAAATCCACAAATAAAAAATAAATCCAAAAAACTTCTCCTGTCTTCTATTCCTTGAGCTTGCAATGAAACTTTGTTCTACTTCAAGTGCTCACCAAGTGGCTTCGGTATGGAGTTGAAGTGCTTTTATATAAATCTTAACTTTTTGTTTAAGGGCACTTTCGGTTAATGCTTGATTAAGCAATTGTTAACAACACAAGAAGTTTAGTATTTTATATAATTTTTTTTGTATATAAAGGACTGATATACTTTGAAGTTCTTCAAACAAAACAAAAATGTTGAATAAACTACTATTTTGAGAGCTACTATTCGACATATTTAAGTTGCATATTGCATCTATGTAAAGTTAATGAAAAATTGACTAATTGATGTTTAGTCGATTTTCAATACATGTAATATACTTTTTCATATCGTTAAAATGTTGATAATATCATAAAAGGAGCCATTAATTATTTAAGATATTTTCATTACCTTAATTGACATGTACATTTAATATCGACATCGTTCAATTCACACAAGCAAAAATACTAACATCGATCACCTTTAGCATCTAAGTTTATTAGAAACTAAAACTACTACTTCAAACAAACTAAAATAATCGTACATTTTTAAAAAGTACGATTTCGTAAAAGTATATAAAAATTTAATACTTAATCACCTTTTAGCTCGATACATTTAGTCCAGCGTTGTTCTAATTTTCTTATTCCCTCCAAATAATAGGTTTTCTCAAAGCTCTCAAAATACGCGTTTGTTTTGGTTATGAATTCTTCATTCGACTCAAATCTCTTACAGCCCAGCCATTTCTTTAGGTTTGGAAACAGAAAATAGTTGCAAGGGGCTAAATCTGGAGAATATGCTGGATGAGGTAGCAGTTCGTATCCCAATTCGTGGATTTTGGCCAATAATGTTTAATCAGCACACGAAATTCACTTTATTCCATTTTCGTAAAAATTTACGAGGTTGTCTGCTTTGAACGGCTATCAAACATTAACTGAACGACTTAGCTTGTTCAAAACTAAAAAGTTGCCTACTAGTAGATTACAGCTGACGGCAGCACTGCTGCATTTGGACTAACGGCAATCACAACTTTACTATAATAAAATACTTTTCATGATAGTTCATATTATATTGTTCGAATGATAAGCCAAATCCTTTGTCTGAAAACCTGACTTTCTTCTAAGCCTTTGTTTATATTTGTTACACTACACTCTCTCTCTCTCTCTCTCTCTCTCTCTCTCTCTCTCACTCTCTCTCTCTCTTATAGAAGAACTGTTCTACAAACTAGCACTTTACCATTACCTTACTGTAATTATGTATATATAGATATACATATAGTGTGGATGAAAAGTCAGGAAAATTATTTATAAAAGATCTTTATGTTTATCTGTTGCACCAATTTAACACAACAAACTGCCACTCTTCCGTCATCATGGTCTACTTTTGCACTTACTTATTTTGTATTATATCATTCGAATGTAAAGCCAGTAGTCTTTACAAGAATTCAGTATTTTCCATAGTCCTATCTTATATCTATTTAACTACTTAAGGTAGTATTTATAGTAGCACTATGTAGCTTTGTTAGTAGAAATTTTCTAATAGCGCTTCTTTTTGTTAAATCCATTTGTTCCTTAAAGTAAGGTGGGCATCTGCTTTAAGACTACTGTTGCATCCATTGTTTGATTTCGGTTTTGAGTTAGTTCGTTGCTGCAAGTCCAATGCATTCGTGTAACAAGTCCAATGCAGTACACGTTCCAATCTTAGTGTATTTTTTTGTCCTCTACTTCGATATCTTTTGACAACGGAGATAATTTCATTATGTTTTTTAATGTTTTTACTGATATGCAATTGGTTGTAAAATTATATTAACACTTCCCAATTTCATGGAGTAATCACCGTTTAAGATGAGAGATATTGTGTTCTATTAGAGTACAGCCGGAAGAACCTAACCTTCGAAATTAAAAAAAAGAAACGGCGTTTCTTCCCTGATTTGTTCTGAGGTCTTCATTTCCTGAAAAGTTTAAAAGAAAATCTTTTAGTAAATTGTAAACTTTTTTCTCTAATTTAGTTCTATTAACTTCTGGTGGTGGAGAAAGTGAATCTTATTTTACAGTCAAACTTTTGGATAATTGGTTACAATAAGTAACTGACATATTTCCTTCCGTCTCACATAGTTAGCAATTGTATGCCTTTTTTCATACAATTTTCCTTACAAGAAACCCCTGCAGATAAACTGAATTCATATAGTAAAGTTTATGTACAGTAAAGTTAACTGATCTTTTATCTTCACTGTTGAAAAATCTGGTAAAAAAAGTACTTCACTAAAAATCGGTTCTTTCTGTTAGGCTGTGCATTCACAGAGATAGAGTATGATTGCGCTTCTTCGTCTAAGTACGTCCGAAACCTTGACACAATTGATACAAAAAAATATTTATATAAGAAATAAATGATGTAGAGAAGAACATTAGATCGTCTTTTTTCAGTTTCGTATATTAAATTTGAAAATTAAATTTAATTAGTAAAAAGCATTCTCGTGATTCGTATTATTTTCCTAAGAAATTGATAAATTGGCAATTAAGCAAGACTGTGCTTTCCAAAAAATTTATAAAATAATCAAAAAAAAAATTTATATTACGATTTAATTACTTTATTGTTAGTTTTATAAAAAGATAAAATAAATGTTTAACAAAAAAAATAATATATCCAAATAACTGCACCAACATAGATAAGTACAGCATGACAAGCTAAAATATGTCTCAACTTCCAGGAAGCATCTGTTGCCTGTTGACTGATACATAAGGCATCAGTTACAATTTAATATCACTCACTCGCTTCTCTTACCATAAAACAATATCCTTAGACAAATAGTATCAACTTACACACTATATATAAAAAATAGAAAAAATTCGATAAAGACCAAAAAATCATACTATATGAACTATATGAACACGTAGAATTGCATCAATCCTTGCCAGTTTCAACAAGCACACGTACAAATGAACTGCCATGCATTAACATTGCCAACTACAAATTGCACAAATCCCAACAAATCCAGAATACATCATAACACCACGTCCACGTTGTGTGATTCACGAATCCTTGAGCAAATATTTTAACATTTCCTACATTTCGTACATGTTGAAAGGATTTTCACAGCCTTCCATGCTATTTGAAAGTAGAAAAAAATACTACGAGGAAAAAAAAGGACAATCGGCACATAAGGAAGGAAAGAGCATTCAGCATTCACCAATAGTGCAAATATTTGTCCATCGAGAAAAAAGTAACGAGTGACGAGTGTGGGAGAAAGAGTGAACTGTGTAAACTCTGGCACACTCGTTGGAAGTGAAATGGCATTGGCGGTAAAAATGCTGTCACGGATTCAATAAACACTTCAAATAAACTTGACGATTTATTGCTGAATCGCACGCAACATTTGACAGTTTTTGACACTAGATTTTTTTCACAATTTTTTTCTATTATTTTCTATTTTTATATTTTCCTATCGTGTTTGTCAATTGTGCATTAACAAACAAAAAAATGAACGGAAACGGAAATAGTTTGTGCTGTTGCTAGTGTTTGCCAGGCTTTGTATTTGTGTGCAATGAATTATGAATTCATCACTTGTGCATCGCACGTTTGCAATCGTTTAACTGCTGACAAATGATAAAATTTATTATTTGCAAACATCACATCATCATCATCGTCACCAGCATACATTCACACATCACAAGCACATCAAAATCACCATTAACTACCACTTACGCATAAATATCTTTGCACAAAGTGTAATCACGTTTCTCAGTCTACCTTAGTTAAATTTGTTTTGCAAAGGCTTTTGTATTTTGCAAAAACGTAAATATTGCAATATTTGAGCTTAAATATTGTATTTCATTTTTAAAATACAATAAAATGATATACTATCAGTAAATAAGAGCATTTAAACAATTTTTCCAGACTTCCAGTAAATTTAATAATTATTCTAAATTAAGAAGAGAGTATATTATTAAAGTTCTTAAATCAGAACTGCTAAGATAAATTTCTTTAAATTAATTTTTTTTAACTAATACTTTTGTTCTTTTTTCTTGGTACATTTAAATCGATCACGTTCTTCGCACTTAAAATGTGTCGCCTGTTTGTGATAATCACGCGCGTATGATTAATCGCTTCTTTGCAGGATAATCACTTTGCATTCTCACAAGGGAACATTTTTTGGTGCGTGTGTCAAGCGTCAAATAGTTTTGTCTTCTCACTTCTGCTCCGTACTTTCGAAAAAGTTTTACTAAATTTTAAAGACCAACAAAAACAACAAACGTGAACCTTAGCGCTCAACTTAAGCAGTTGAGTAAGCGATATCCTTGCCTTTGAATATTTGTTATTGTGGCTTATCATTTATGTGGGAGACATCGTAGGTATAACAAAGTTTTCAAGGATTCTATTTCAACTTTCAAGTTTGGTTTCTAAATTTAAACAGTTAAGGTGTTACTCTGAAAGGACTTTATCTTCTTTGTGAAGTTGTTTGCATTAAGTATTAAAAGAATTTCATTTATTTCCAACTTTTAAGTTTTAAAGCTGCAATTGAGTTTTATTTTTCTAAAATAATGAGCAGAGCTTAGCATATAATCACTTTTAATTATTGGATTTATTGGTTATACAGCCGTATAGTAAAGTAACTAAAGACCTTTTTTATTTTATTTTTTTTACAACTTTATGAAAAATAAAATTTATATATCTATTTCCAAAATATTCTATTTAATTTGTGATCAAAAATATGATATAATAGATTACTAGCGAGCTAATTGGTCATTTAAATAGAAACAAAAAAACAATAATTTATGATTTATATTTAAAAACAATTTATATATATTTGAAATATTTTTTTGATATTTCGACATCTTCAGTGAAACTATTTTCGTAACTTATAAATATGTTCCTTACACTTTAATAGTGAGAAAGTTAGAATGCTCCTAAGTAATAGAATCCTCAGTTCTTCAGTATATATCAAGTCGAAAAAAATTGAGACGTCCTTCAAACATTAATAAATATGTTTAATATATAATTAAATTAATGTAATGGTTTTTTTTTAAAAGCAATTATTTAGCGTTGCAATTTATTTTAGTGTTTATTGTTATTTTAGTGCAATTTATTTTTGTGTTTTTTTTTTGTTTAAATTGCTTCTTTCACATTTTTGTTGCTGTTATTTTTATTAACAATAAATAATAAAATATTAAATAATTTTTATTAAATTTTAAATAATTATTATTACTTAAAATAATAATTTAAGTTCTATTCTTTTAACTTTATATATTGAAGCGAGATTGAATATTGACTGCTTGCATAAATAAAGTGAAAAGTGTACTTTGTACTTGACAAGAACTGAATTTTGTTAGATAGTTAATAATTAGCACAATATTTTTAATCTAGGACTTCTTAATACTAATAAACAGTAGAGTGGAGTGGAAAAGTATTCTAAAATCTCTAGGTACTAAATTCAGAATTGTCCCGTATTTAATGAAGATGATCCGCAGCTACTTGAAAGATCGCCTACTTGTCTATGATACTCAGGAAGGACAAAGAGAAAAATGTATCAACTCAGGTGTAGCACAAGGATCTATTTTGGGCCCCGATTTGTGGAACGTGGTATATGATGGAATCCTATAATCCAAGATGCCTGATGACACACACCTCGTTGCTTTTGCAGATGATATCGCAGCAGTAATTACGGCAAGAAATACGGAAAACGCTCAGCGGAAGCTCAACATGGTGATAATACAAGCGCAAAATTGGCTAAATGCACACGGTCTTAAACTCGCCACCGAAAAGACTGAATTGCTAGTACTCACTAAACGTAATATACCGTTGGAAATTGGAATGCTCGTTGGCGACAGCACCTTATATATGAAAAAGGAGATCAAATACTTGGGGGTGAAACTAGACTCTAACTTGATTTATTGGGCTCAAATAAAACAAGCAGCTGCAAAAGCAAGCAAAGTTGTTACGATGCTAGGAAGACTGATGGCTAACGTGAGAGGTCCTACCCAGAGTAAAAGAAAATCAGCAGACCTTCAAGATATAAGAGAACAAACTTTTCAGATCTGGCAACAACGGTGGAACTCCGATTTAAGAGGAAGATGGGCGGCAAAGCTGATTCCGAACGTAAAGTCGTGGACGGAAAGAAATTTCGGCGAGATTGACTATTATGTCACACAGTTCCTATCTGGTCATGGATATTTTCGAAAATATCTATACAGAATGCAAAAAGCAGAGCAGCCCTACTGTATATATTGCGGACCAGTCGAAGACAATGCTGAGCATACTTTCTTCAATTGCGAAAGATGGCGTGGAGAAAGAACACTACTTGCAGGATATATAGGTCACTTTACAGTCGATAATATTGTAGAAAAAATGATAGAACGAGCAGAAAATTGGAACAAAATTATGCAATTCATCCGAAATGTGCTAAGGGAAAAGAAGAAAGATCTGGACGCAATCTAATCTTAAACGAAGAGCACGAATGAGAGCCGGAACACATACTCTGAGATTGGAAAAAGTAGACTGTAGGGCAAGATTAATTATCTGCAACAGTAGCGGAGCCTGGACGCATGGCACACCGATGGAAGTCTTAAATGACTAATAATGACCCTACCTCGAAGTAATACTAACGTAGTCCCGGGGTAGAAAAAGGTCTCTAGGAATGAGGGGGAGTGGTTTAGCTCACCTTCCAGGGCGCCGGAAGGTGGTCAGTGCGTAGGCATTCCACTCCTCCTTGCCGCAAAAAAAAAAATACTAATAAACAGTAATTTAAAAATAATAATAGTAAAAATAATAATTTTTGATTTATTTTTATGCTATATAAGTTCAATTTTATCGTATTTTATTCTTAAAATATTGCTCTTTATATTTTATTATATGTATCTCTTCTACATTAAAATATGGTAAATACAAAAATAATTTTGTTGAAATCTAAGTTATAATTACTTGTAGGTAGATTATGGTAGGTTAAATTCTAAGGAT